ACGCTAACAGAGCAGACTAATGGCGGCTTAAAACATACATCTTATTGGTATAAAATACGAAAACATGACGACATAATAACTAGGTGGGTAAAACACCCTTTTATCGTTCCCTCTCGCTGTGCCCCCGCCTCTCGGTCACTCTAGTCCGGGGATTGAGATGTAAACAAGGCCCTCTGGAGCTCAGGAGTAAACAGACATATTTTAACAACTACAGCTAAAGTGGTCACAATTAAAAACCGGTGGTGTTTACCTCTCAGAGCAGCGAAGGCTCAACGTACGATGACAACCTGAGACGGTTTTAGTGTGAGAGCCGAGGAGCGAAAAGCTGTACTGTGCTCGCTTGGCTGGTAGGCGGAAGATACACTGTTACGGGGTGCTTATCTATGACCTCACATCCGCCGCGGTCTTCCCCTTCGGACTTTTTTAACTGCAGGTCTGCCTTGTAAAATATAGATTGAATTATATTACCTGTTATACTGACAGAATAGCGGTTTTGGTGTATACTTTACACTACTACTATACTGTTACTGCCCCCACAATAAAGCATATTTATAAAGTACAATAGTGCAGGTATTTTATTCTGAGGCAGCCATATTACGTTAACATTAATAAGAATTGAGGCTACAGAGTAATTATTACCACTTGATGTTTCTAAATCTTCCCTAGTGCACCTTAAAAAACAAGCACAAGGCTTTGTTTTTTTAAATTATAGTAACTTAACTCTGTCTTTTTTGTTTTCTGTGTCTACAATTAAAGGTATTTTTAAGTGTCACTGAGGTGTCATTTTGCCAAGTCAAACTATTTGATCTGTTTTTCTGAATGGTCATTTAATTTTTTAAATGATAATTTTCAAGACAACTAAAGGAAGAATAAACTAACATGCACTTGCTGGCATATCTGTGTTGTTTAGCTTGTGCAGTGGGTAGCAGATGATAGACTGAAGGAGCCAGAGTTGTAGCTGGACATCTAGATGGAGCACTTAGAGGTCTTTAGGTCTGAAGCCATATAATCAATGGCTTCATAAACAATGCATTAGCCTATGCTGTGGTTCTCAGGAGTGCAGGAGAGGAGCAGAAGGTCATGCCCCTTGAGCTGGTGCATTGATAAATTATCTCGAATTACTGGGAAAGGAGGTGCAGTGTCTATATAATTCTCCCATTAATACTCCTTCTATTCTTATTTTTCTAAGAATTTAGAAATGTACAGCTAAATATTTCTACAGTTTGTCACACTGATTTACAACAGCTGCGGTGATCATATTTAAATATATTTTTTAGACATTAAAAACAAATTATAAATTTAACTTGTTCTGCTTTCTCTTGTATATACATTTTATTTATTTTTATTTTTTACAAAAATCTTTTTCATACAAAAATCGCTAACTACCCCAGCATCAGCTGTTCTGTATGAAAACTTAGTTGACATCTGATTAATAAGTGATAAATGATTAGTATCAGTTACAATAGAGTTAAGGCATGATGCTGTAATACAAAACAACATTCATATTCACAACAAACAACAACTGTACAGGTATGAAAGCCCAAAATCATCTTATTGGATCGCTACATGAAGAAGCTTTTCCTGCTGTACAATAATTGAAGAGCTGAAGGCAGGTTCTATTACTTTTGTTTCATCTCTAACGTTACGCCTTTTCAAATGGAAACAAATGTCTCTCCTGGCCTTTCTTCTCTCGTTTTGTGGTTGAGTTCTTCTTCTGTCCACTAGAGTTCCCGCTACCCACCTCTGTTTGTCTGTTTTGAGGCCACGACATGGCCAAGGTTTCAGATGCAGTTTTAGTTGGAGAACTTTTACTGTCAACCTCTTCCTCATCAGATGAAAGGCCAACATCATTGTCTCCATGATGCACAAGACCTAGATTCTTCTTGCTGTAGCGCTTTTTAAGCCTCTCCCTTATCAGTAGTCCTTTTACCAGCAGTTTCCAGTTTGAGAAAGCTCTCTTTTCTTTTTTCTGTAACGAGGAAAAAAATGTTGACGTATGTAGCATGACAATCCTTAAATGAAACAAAACAAAATAGTGAAAACTGTGTCTTACATGTTAATTTGTCATTTATATTATTACTGAGAATACAAGTTTGTACTAAAAGTAAAATCAAATGAGTAGGGTCTCACATTTTTAACCTGAATCAAAGATGCTTTTTTTTTCTCTCTTCAAAATAAGCTCCACATAAGTACACACCTCTTTTTCCTTTTGCTTCTGAAACTCTTGGTCTTCACTCCATGCTGCTCTGAGAATCTCCTCATGCTCCTCACACACAATATATCCATCAGTCCTAAAACACACAGAACAACTCACTTTCAATGTTTAGGAAAAGTATTATGCATTTGAGATGGAGCAGGTATACCGAAGCAGGAACACCAGTAAGGTTGCCAACAATATTAATCAAAATCCCAGCATTGAACTAAATCAATGGACCAGATGCAATAGATGAATAACCCTTCATGAAAAAATATTTTAACAAATAAAACACTTTCATAAAATATTTGGTGGAAATGGCTTTTGATCAATGGATTTTGATATAATTCTTGACAAAGCGTGTAATTAACATATGTTACAGGAAGAATTAACAGCTCAGTAGTAAGTGAGAGTTAAGTTCTTTCTGTGTTTAGAGACTTCAGGGAATATAGTAAAAATATGATAATAAACATTAACTAGAGTTTGGTTGATCTCTGTACCCTGGTGTCTTTAAAACCCAACTTGTGACTATAAATTCTTAAACTGTTGTGCTCTGCTGTTCTATGTTGCATTTGCTTGAGGTCACTGCAGCAGATAACAACAGTAGAAACTGTTGACCTACACAGCATGCGAGTATCCACCGTGGAAGTCAAATCCTGTGACAGCAGGAGCAGCTTCTAGGTCCAGTTTCCTGGCCACACGGTGCAGGTTTGGCAGTCTGAGGTGAACACAGCCCACTGGTAACATACAGGGCTTGAACAGATACACGTTACCGTATTCATTACGGGGAACCTGATAAAAGGAGAAACAAATTAGGTTGACAACTGTAGTCTATCAAATGAAATAGAAAAGTATACAACTTTTCTGAGGCATACTGTCAAAAGAGTGTAGTTCTCCATACAAAATACTTGGAAAGTCAAAATATGTGGTTGTGGACTACGCAGCATTGTAATAATTGATAGATCAAAGACAAGCTTTGGTGGCTAAATTCTTGACTCCACATACGTAAATGCATTGTTCCAATTGACATTTTGTCCCTCATGTCTGAAAATGTCTTCAATGACCATGAAGGCATCATGCAATTCAAAAAAACGACGACATTCTAAGTGGAGTGTGTTTGAGGGGACAGAAAAGAACAGGACAGGGCCGTTATCTGCATCAGTTTCACTTCCTCTCACTTCCGCCCGTTACCTTCCCGTCCACAGCAATAGGTGGTTGATACTCTTCCGTTTGCCATTCTCCAAACAGGGCAAGATCATTTTCATTTTTCGTGTCAGACATGATCCTGGCCTTACGGGAACGATTAGAGAAGCCCTTCACCATCTGACAAAGGCAAAAACAATTGGGAAAATATTTGTATTGAATGGATGTTTATGCAACAAAAATGAGACACTTCTGATAAATCCATGACTTGTCCAAAGCAACACTCCAAAAAATCAGCTGATTACTATTTTGCTATAATATTTTGGCTCAGTGAGTGGGTAAGTCTAACCAAATATGACTTGAATACTGGGATCTGTGTCAAGACTGACTTTGAAATACTGTGACAACATTACAACCAGCTACCCACTGATTAGTGTTTTCCTACTGTTCAGTGTCTCTCCTCATGGGTAGTTTATTTTAAGTATCACAACAATGTCAGCAGATTGGAGGTATGTTTCAGGGGGTATCAGGGAGGAAGACAGCAGCAAGACTGACTGTTTTACCACAGTAGAAATGTGTTTTATGTTGTATTTAGGAATGACAAAGCTGAGAGGGAAAGAAAAAAAAGTTCCTTCTCACTTTGTAGGGCTCTTCTCCTAGTCTGACGGTCCGCGCCTCCTTCAACCATGTGTCTCTGGAGTGTAGGGTCTGCACACAGTCTCTAGAGAAAAATACCAAAATAGAATGAATAAAAACATACATCAGTCACAGATGCAGAGACAACAAAACTAGTTCTTAATTAAAGACTGTCTGACCATTAGCTATAGCTTATTTTTACCTATATGTAGATCAGGCATTTTGACTGTACATCATCAGTACAGTATTAGTGCTTAACCAGTGCTTCTTTATTAGTTAATATATGGTCTGACTTTAGACATGCACACATGATCAACAGCATAGGAGGTGAGAAGAAAAACCCCCCACCATAATTCATGTTTTTCTGTGTTATAACATTATTTCAGCGCCTTACCACACGGGGGCAGTCTAACCAAGGGCCTCTTACCACTGCTACAACCTCTTATAGACATGCACTGAGTATGAGAAGTTTTCATTTGTTTAAAAAAAAAAAAATGAATAGAACAAGAAGATAACGAACTAAATAGTTCTCACATTTTTATCTTACACCAATATAATCACAGGATGCGGCTTATGCAATGAATCCTACAACATTTATGAGACAGTGAGGCTGTAAAATACAGTTAATTCATATTAATTACATTACTATTCAATCTTCTGCTGTGCTACAGACCTGGAGTACACTGGCTCTCCTCTGCAGTATCCAAGCACTGTGGCTGTTGAAGGGTAAATGGCTTCATACTTCAGCAGGTGTCTCTTCAAGGCATACAGAGGATGGTTCTTGTACTCAGCTATGGAGATGGGCAGTGGTTTGTTCAGCAGCCTATTCTGAAGCTGCACACCAGAAAGAGATAAAGGGAGAAAGGAATTGGTTTTCTGACTAGAAAACAAGGCGATTTTCTCACAGGTTTACACATTAATTTTATTAATGAGTCAAATATAAGGTTATAAAAGAGTTTGTCTTACCTCTTTTTCCTCCTTCTTGTCTCTTTCATCCTCAGGTCCTAAAAAAGGTGCCAGTGTCTCCTCCCACCACTCATCATCCACCCGCCGTTTTCTCGATGACGTCATCCAGGTTGGGTCATACTTCTTCCCCAGGTCCTTCAAAAACCCATCGCCGTCTACTGACACTACATATGTCACGGGGGCAGTTGCATTTTGGGAGCAGAGCTTAGGTACACCCACCCCGTGTTCAACGTCCACACACACCCAGGAGGCAGTTTTGTCCAGATACACCTCCAGCCACTCGTCTGCTCCAGATCCTGTCTTTTTCCCACTACGTCTCTTTGATGCTTCTCCTCCTTCATTTCCCTCTTCCTCTTCTTTTTCTTTAACCAGTTTTTCCTTTACGTTTTTTTCTGTAGCAGCAGTTTTCCTGTTATTTTTCACTTTGCTTTTTGCTTTTCCATTTTTTGATGATTTAGCCTCACTCTCAAAATCATCACTGTCCTCTTCACTGGTTACCTGAAATTCCTCCTCGTCACTGAGCCTCTCTTCTGCCTCGCTGTTGCTTTCCTCCTTGTAGCTGACCTTTGAGGCAACACTACGACGTTTTGAGTTCTTTGGTCTCTGTCCTCCTGGCTTGACAGTCTTCTCCTCCTTCTCTTTTGTGTCTTCTCTTTTTGCTTTTTTGCCTCCATGGTCTCCCTTGGATTTAGCTGCTCTCTTGGTGCCAGGTGAGACTTTTTGCTCAGTAGTCGTTCTGGAGGTTTCTTTATTTTTGGGACTTTTTCCTGAGTCACCGGCCGATTTTCCTCCTCCCTTGGCCTAAAAAAAATGACAAAAAAGTCAACTAGTAGCACAATGTAAAAATAGCAAATCAAGTGAGTTCCTGTTGTGATTTACAACACTGTGCAGGAAAACATCATATATCATACAGACACCAAACAAAGGATACTTGAACTACAGATGCAGTTTTTTAAGAACACAGTGAAAGACTGTTGAACACAGACAGACTTCTCTACCTTTGCTGATGGAGGTTTAAAAGACACTGGCTGCAGGGACAGAACCAATCTACAGGAGAGCAACAGGGATCTCAGGAACAGCAGAAATAACTGTAGGAAGGAAAAACCCATACATGTGTATTTTTAGCAGGACTCTCAAATTGCGTTAATTAATATGGGACAATTAATCAGATAAAAAATATTTAAGTCATTTTTGAGGCAGAATGTCCTGCCCATGCTTTTCAAAATTAGCACACTATATGTATTTGTGTGTGTTAATGTATAATTTACAAGCTGTTATTTCTGTTCCAGCAATACACTGAAAAAGTGCTACCTTTAGAAATGTTAATTTATTGATTAATCATGATTAACTGTGATTATTTACGACCACGATCAATCATGTTTAATAATGATTATTCTGGAGGAACAGCTGCAGGAAGGAAAAAACGAAAACACCCCGTGATCTATCAGATTAAATTAATTTCATCACTTGACAGTCCTAATTTTCAGTGGAGCATTTTATTCATTATTTAATGAAGCACACGTACATGGGTCATTTCCTGGTGATTCCTTGCAGAAAGACTAGCTAGCCTTCTCTCCAGAAGAGCCTGTGGATCTGGACGTTCCTCATAAGGAAGACTAGGATTGAGGGTGAACGTAGCTCTAAACCTGAAATTTACATCATTAGTTTAATTACTAGTAAAATGAAAACAAATGGTATTAATTGGCCCAGGCTTTTGTAATGCTAATGTAAAAATGTATAGATAAGGAACTTACCATTTAAGTAATCCAGAGAGGTAGTTTTGGTCAATGCGTTCCTTTGCAACCTTGCCAAAGTGGGCGGGCAGCAGTGACAGGGAGATGGCCAGGAGGTCGGGTTCACTGCACAGACGGTTACGAAACATCCCACTGCCGATCAGGCACATGAGGTGAACCTAAGACACGTTGGTCACAGACACACTTGAGTTTGCAACAGTAAAATACTCAACTGTCACAGATGAGACACCGTGTAGCAGCATGAAAACACAAGTGTAGTGTGTGTTGTCTACCTTGTGTGTGTCCATCAGCAGGTCTTTCTTGTATCTGTTTATCATCCTCCTCATATAGGTCTCATACTCCGCCTGCCTTTTTTTCCTGGCCAATCAGAAACAAAAATGATAATCAATATCACTTTTGTTTTGTTTTATTGAATAAGCCTAAGTTTAATTATTATTATTTATTAATACCTACAACAATGTACTCTGAATGTTTTTACTGGCATTAATAAAACTTTGAATCACTGACTTTTTCTTGACTTCTACCGTCTCGATCTCTATCTCCACAGCCTGAGTTGGCAGATCGGGTTCTGCTGCTTCCACTGGACCCAATGGTTCATCAAGTTCTGGCAGACACATACATATTTTTGAATATGAAATATGAAATGAGAGCAGAAATTATTTTTTAACAGAGCATGTACCTTCCACTTCCTCCCAGTCGTCCTCTTCTTCATCGCTGTCATCGTCTTCATCGCTGTCATCGTCTTCCTCTTCCTTATCTTTTTCTACTCTCTTGGTGCGAGCAGCTAGCTTAGATGCTGGTGAGGTCACCATGTCAAAGTCGTCTTCACTGTCATCCTCCTCATCCTTCACTGCTGACTGGAAGTACTGACTAGTGTTAACAGTAGTAGCACTGGTGGATTTTAAGGTGTTGGACCCTGCTGTTGGTTTCGAGGTCACAGACTGGGATTTTGTTTGAATCCTCCTCACAAGTTTCTCTTCTTCCTCTTCTTTTTTCACGGTAACAACATTTTCTTAAAAAGCAAAGCACAAAGTTACAGTTACTATTTTATATAAGTTGCTGAGTTGTAATTTTTTGTCTTTGTAAAAACATTTTTTATCATGCACAGATGGACCTGTGAGTATTTTTAACACCTACTGCAACAGAAATGAAACTTCAAATATTCAAAGAGTTACTGAAAATTATTGTAGTCCCTTTGTTTTCCCCCAAAACAAAGGATTAACCCCAGACAGCCGAGTATTGAGATAATGCATAAATATTGCAGAAAATCTTGCAACAACAACAGAGTTGCATTTCATTTTGTGAGGAAGTGGAGCACATGTGTGTATCAGGGCCAACTCATGCAGTGAAATGCACCTGCTGTTTTGCCACTGTCGTGGGGTGGTGCACCAATATGACAAACAGGCATGAGATGAAAACAAATGAAAACATGGAGCATTTGTTGTATTTTCAATGACAGCAGAATGTTGGGTTTTTTTAACAGCACAACAGATTACCAGGACTACCTCAATAGTATTGTAAGGAATTCTTTATAAAAATACTGAACATCACTTCAAAGAGGAAACTGTGTTCTATGTGATTAAGAATGACAAAATATTTTAAGATGGGTTTACCGACCCAATATAATATAAATTGTGATTTACAAGATAAATAATATACACTGCTATAAACTATGATGTAAAGTAAGAACGACACCAATTAGAGTTACCAAAAAGGGGCTTTAGGCCAATAGTTTGACTAAAGTATTATCACGTATGTTTATCTAATGAAGTGTTTTGTCAAAAATATCTTTTCGCAAACAAAGGTTCAAACGCTCCAAGAAACAAATAGTCTACCTCTAGCCTTCTCTACTGAACTTCTTCGGATACGAACCTACATGGGCATATTTAACATTTCATATACCTACAGTTAAATGCAAATAATTTATCCGGATCGTTTTTTTAAATTAACGGGTTTTTAGTAAGAGCCGTAATAGTTGCATTACAGACAAAATGAAAATCTAACTAACGGAATCCATAAATAACAGCCATTAACTTTATCTTTTCATATTAAGGATTTTTTAAAAATATAACAGAAGAAGATAAACAGAAATCATTCATATTGTTGCAAAACGTACACTGTGCAACATCCAACAATCCTAAACATTTTTTAATTAATGTTTTCTTCACATTTCTGCTTAAGTGAATTTAAACTAAAAATCGGAAAATACAACACAGACTTGTAAGATAAATCAGTACTGCTGTTGATTTTTTTCCACCTGCTTCTCTTTTCTTCGCTGCTTTAGATGCGCTGTTCTTCGTCTTTAGCAAATGCTTAGCTTTCTTGGGAACAACTTGTTTTTCCGCGCAGTCTTTCCTTTTGGCCATGGTTTCTTCTGTTGTTTAAAACAATAGTATAATTGTTTATATGTTTACATATTTTTAAAAAGTAAAAAGTGACTTCTGTTCATGGTCTCTGTCATTCTGTTGTTATCCAACCTTTCATTCTTGCGTTACACAAGAGCGAACAACGCTCCGGATGTTTTGGAGGGTGGACTCTGATGTCATATCCGGTTCTAGATTTCAGTAGAGCCAAATTTGACCACTTCAAGGCGCTGTTGCTTTTTTAAAAAAATGATGTACGCAGATAACGTCTATAAATAAAAACACTGTCATACACGGAGTAAAAAAGACACTTTTATTGTTTAAAAAAGACAACAATAGCCAATTACCCTCTGAAATAATTGTATTGACGTTTTAATGATACAATTACTGCTACAACTTCTACTGTTCTAATTTTAGCAATAATATCAACTATAATAACAATAGTAATAATAGTGAAAACAATAATACTAATTGTTTGTTTGTAAAACACACACGTAACACAAAGCTATACAGTACACGTAAAGGTGGTCATTACCACTTAGTTTTGTAAGCTATTCATGCAATTTCTTAGTTGTAGTTTGTCAAAATAAAACTAAATAAAAATATTGTCTTTAACTAGCACAAAACATTCCACATTTAGATTTCTTTATTATGTATTTGCACCAAGTTTAGATTTTTATTTCTTGTAATCTGACATTCTAACAACATTTTTTCTGACTACTTATAATAAGTAATTCATTCTGGCTTGGTTCTTTGTGTCAGCAACATCTTAGAATTTTTTATCATCCAAGTATTGCACGATGCAGGGAACTCTCCTTCCCATTGGCAACCTTAATAAAGAATTAAATAGGTGAAAGACCATGACTGAATGAATTCTTTATCTTGTTATTTTGCGACAGGTTGTGTAATTCCCCCTGAAACAAGTTCTGCCTCTTCACTCTGAATCAATTTGGTTCATTTTGGTTCAATCTAATTTTCATTCTGCTGTGGTGCGATTTGTATTGATCATACTGAGAGTCTGTGGCAGATGTGTGTGTTTCACTTCACAGAGCCGTCTGTCAGCTCCTACAGTCAGACAGCTTCAGACTGAGTCGCTGTAGTTTAGTTGCCTGATGGGACCAGGGAACTGTTGTGCCCCGGGTGTGTGTGTATGTGGAAAGAAGGCACCGTATGCATATCTACTTCATGCATCCGCATAAATGAATGCATGCTTATGTGTGCAGTGCACGTGCATGTGTGACAGGTTTGCACTTTGCAGTCTCCTGGATGTGGGCATGCATTTATGGCCTTCTTTCAGCAAGTAGCCTCCTGAGGGTACTCATACATAAAGTTGTGTGTGTGTGTGTGTGTG